ATTCCGCCTTGCGATTAGAGTGGGGAGGAATTTTTTCTATAAACATGCCAAAGAAAGGCTTCTACTACTACTACAGAAACTCAAATTTAAATGAAATCATAAAAAAACTGAAGTACAAAAATATTAATAGTTGTTATGATAGTTATTCTTCTTTTTGTTGATAAGTATCCAAAAATCATAAATGAAAATAATAGGAAATGGCATTCCAGTTATTTCTCAAAAGACTTTGAGTTCATTATACTCAAAATTGTGGCTGTGTAAACAAACAAACAAGAAAACCATTATACAGTGATTGCTTCATTTTTTCTGCCTTTTAGAAAGAAAATATCAAGAGGGAAGAGAAAGTCTTCATACAACTAGTCGTGAGAGGAAGAACAGGGTGTAGCATTTATTTTATTTTGTTTTTTATTTGTTTTTGAGACAGAGTGTCACTCTGTTGCCCAGGCTGGAGTGTAGTCTGGTGCAATCTCAGCTCATGCAGCATCCACCTTCCAGGTTCAAGCGATCCTCCTGCCTCAGCCTCCTAAGCAGCTGGGACTACAGGTGCACGCCACTACTCCTAGCTAATTTTTGTATTTTTAGAAGAGATTGGTTTTGTCATATTGGCCAGGCTGTTCTCAAACTCCTGACCTCAAGTGATCCACCCACCTCAGCTTCCCAAAGTGCTGGGATTACAGGCCACCGTGCCTGGCCAGGGTGTAGCATTTAATTAGACCACAGTTCCTTGACCTCTGCACCAGGGACATTTGGGCAGGAGAGTTCTTTGCTGTGGGGGCTCTCCAGTGCATTATATAATGTTTAGCAGCATCCCTGGCCTCTACCTGCTAGATGCTAGTACCAACTCCCAGTTGTGACAACCAAAAATGTCTTCCGACAATGCCAAATGTCCCAGCATGGGAGGGAGGTACAAAATTGCCCCCGGATGAGAACCACTGAACTAGACCTTGTTTCATTTGCCCCAAGCCCTATGTTGGACATCCATGATGTATTAGTTTGCCCACACTGGCTTTTCAGGTGTGTAGAGAGTACAGCTGAAAAATGTCCACAGACATTAGTTGGACTCTGCGTTTTTGCTGGACAGAAGGGACCACTGGAAGTTACCATTTCACTAACTTGGTCTTTCTTCCTAGCGATAGGGGTTGGCGATTTGTCCTATCTTCTTGGCATTCATGCTCTTCTTCCTGCCAGTTGCTCAAAGGAGACCTTACCGGAGCCTCAGGCATAATTCTCTTTTATGGCAGCACAACTCCCAGGTGTATGAGCAATGCTGTCACCCAAAGCATCGTCTTAAGCCTCTGGAGAGAGCTGCAGGAAATTACAGTGTATTGCAAGGAACTCTGTGCTGAGGGGGAAAGAAAATCCTCTTCTTAAATTAAAAAAAAAAAAGAAGAAGAAGAAGAAATAGCAAGACAATATTGAAGCTAGCTTGATTTAGCTCCTTTTCCACAGAAAATTTTAGACCAGCTCCAAGGGTGTGTGTCTGGGATCTGGTTAGTCCCGCATGGCTAGTCCATTTTAAGGATGATGCCACACTTGGGTCACACTTTTCTCCACTTCTACACATCTGGGTTCAGTTGCCACCCACTGCAGTCCCTGGAGTGGAGGAAGTTGCACTTCCTTCCCTCTAAAATCACTCTATCTTGACCTTTGAACTTCTTCTACAGGAGAGGAAAGCCATTTGGATAAGAAAAAAAGTCATCAATGTTTATGTCGGTGGGAATAAGATGTCTTCTCCTGTCTTGCACCCAGCTTCTCTGAGTCCACAGGAAAAGTTGCCTCTGGGGGGAAAGAGCAACAGAACTGCTCCCTGAAATCAGGTTCCCACCAGCTTTCACCTTCAACAAACAGAAAGGCAGAGAAAAGCACATATAGGTAACTAGTTGAAAATTAAAAACACATTTTGTAATATGTACACATGCCTGTAGCCAGGTGCTGTGGCTCATGCCTGTAGTCCCAGTACTTTGGGAGGCTGAGGCAGATGGATCACCTGAGGTCAGGAGCTCGAGACCAGCTGGCCAACATGGCAAAACCCCATCTCTACTAAAAATATAAAAATTGGCCTGGCATGGTGGTGGGCACTTGTAATTCCAGCTACTCAGGAGACTGAGGCAGGAGAATCACTTGAACCCAGGAGGCAGAGGTGGCGGTGAGCTGAGATGGCCCCATTGCACTCCAGCCTGGGCAACAGAGGGAGACTCCATCTCAAAAAAAAAAAAAAAGGAAAGAGTGGACCAAGAGATAGTGGAGAACTGGGAAGGGTCAGAGGGTAGGAGGGGGTGAATGATGAGAAATTACTTAATGGGTACAATGATGTACACTATTCTTGTGATGACTATACTCAAAGCCCAGACTTCGCCACTATGCAATATATCCATTTAACAACATTGCATTTATGCCCACTAAATCTATATTTTTAAAAACCCACATTTTACTTATACTGTTTTATCTGAATGCAAAAAACTGAAACAATTCTCAATTCGGGTGATGGTGATTAGTTTTCTTTGGATGCTTACCCTTCACCAGATATCATGCTAAAGATCTTATACAGAATATTTAATTTTCCCCAAACTTTCTGTAGTGGATACTGATAATACATTGTACACATGAGGACATTGAGACTTTGTTGATTTAAGGAGCTTATTGGAGTCTCACAGGTCCTGAGGAGCAGAGATCTGAAGTCGGGTGTGTCTCTTTTACGAGATTTAGCTCCTAATCACCATACTATCACTATTGTAGTTCTCTAATTTTAGCATGAGTTGCTATCCCCCGGAGGCCAAGTGAAAGCTCTGATCACTGATTTCACCCCCTCCCTTCCCCCTTCCCCCCCACCCCGCCGCCACCCACAGCTTCTGATTCTGGGGTTGCCTGAGACCTTGCATCTCCAGCGACTTCTCAGGTGATACCGAAGCTGATGGCCCAGTGACCACACTTTGAGAACCCCTGTTATACCACATCCTATCTTCTAAAAAATTGCATTGACTCTGGAAACCTTGAATTGAACATGATGGAATTTGAAAGTGACTGCTGACATTAGACCTACGCACAGATAGCTAACAGCCAGAGTGTTTCTAGAGCCTCTGTTCTGAGAGGATGGTGTCATGAGACAGAGGTAATTGACCTGTTGTAGGTTTTATTCTGGTATTCCCTTGGCTGCCCGACATTTCCGAGAACAGAGTCGAACTGCATTGTTAAAAAAAATAAATGTACCACCACCATTTGCTCGTACTAATAGGTTATTTTTGAAGTCGGTAGTTTTCCATTCAGCAGGATAACATTTCTTTTTCAAACTAAGTTCATTTCTTTTTGATTCAGTAAAACCTATTATATTCAGATTCATCATTGCCATTATCTTGAAAAAGAAAACTATCAATATTAATACTGATGAGCACATAGAGAAGATTTACTGTGAAGAAAGGTTCACAAATCTTGGAGCAAGTCTTGTGTCCTATTAACTAATTCAGCAAAAACTCTTAGGCAATTTTATTAAAGAAAGAAATGTCATTTAAAAGTTTTCTGATTGTGGTCACTTTGAAAACAGGCACTTTGAGGACAGATTTTGTCTTCTCCGTCTTTTGACTGATTGAGTTTCACCTGAATTAAGATTCTAAAAGCACATTTGATACCTGAAATCAAGCTGATTTACTTGTCGATAATCTGTTCTGGAGTCTTCTGGGCTAGTTAGGAGAAAAGCTTTGGTGCCTTACTTTCTTTTTGGCGCCACTTAATAGCATAGATAACAACCCAGGTGTGAAACAGCCAAGAAAATACAGGCAATTGACCTACAGATGGATTCAGGAAAAAACTCCATCCTGAAATTTGCTACAGCACTTTTGCTGTGAGAAATCTTCATATATTCTAAGGGAAAATAGAGGCTGGACACACTGGGTCATGCCTATAATCCTAGCACTTTGGGAGGCTGAGGCTGGAAGATTGCTTGAGCCCAGGCTTGAAACCAGTCTGGGCATCAGAGTGAGACCCCAAGTCTACAAATAATAGTGATCACAAACTTGATCTGGCTTGGTGGTACACGCCTGTAGTCCCAGCTACTCAAGTGGCTGAGGTGGGAAGATGGATCACTTCAGCCCAGGAATTCAAGGCAGCAGTGAGCTATGATTGAGTCACTGCTCTCCAGCCGGGGCAATAAACCTTGTCTCAAAAATGAAGGAAAATAGAGACAGGAGGTATGTGGGACTCCTTAAGCTCCTTTTTCCAAATGCTTCCAACAATCAGTATCAATTCCTGAGGGATAAGTTAAAAAATAATAATACAGTAAAGATGAATTATCTAATGACATCATGAGTGATCGGACAGTTTCCTTTGGTTTTGAGTGGAGAATAAACTACCCATGCAGGTTGGTGCTGGCAGGTGAGGTTAGAGATGTCCAGAGGCTGAATTTTCCGGGACTAAACCACTGATTCTCTTAGGGGTTCTGTTTCCCAGCAGTAGTAATGGCAAGCTATTTACAGAGATGAAGAACTCTGTTTTTCTCCCTGACTGCTGCGTTGAAATTAGCAGCCTCTTGATGTGAGGGTACCTGCCCTCCTGCTGGCAGCCGCAGGAGGTTGTCATTTTCTCTCAGACCCTCAAGTTAGGAGCAAAGGCAGGTTCTAGGGCAGCCTGTTGCTCTGAGACTGCTGCCTTCATCTCCTGCTTCCAGCAGAACCAAGGAAACATTCATGGCTATTCCCCCAGGAGTAGGGTCCAAAGGGATGCCTTGGAGGATTTTTTTCTCTCTCTTCTGCATCTGTGTCTGGCCAGAGGTGTTTATCAGTGTGGACAGAACAAGAAGAATAAGGTGTTCCCCGAGGCAGATTAGGGGACTCTTCGGCCGTGTGTGTGTGTGTGTGTGTGTGTGTGTGTGTGTGTGTACGCGCGCGCAAGGCGTGAAGCCAAGTGTGCTGAAATGCAGCTCCCCTCTCTGCCTGCAAAGAGTTGCTCCGCTTCTGTCCCTGCCGCGCGCCCTGGGGAAGCGCCAGGGGGAGTCCTCGCCGGCCAGGGCTTCCCGTGCCCTGGGAGCGCCGAGGGCTGGCTTGGTGGAGCTTAGCACAGCTCGCTCGGCGCTGCGAGCGGGCGGGGGTGGACATTGGGCTTCTGTGTGCCAGTCGCAGCCGTTGGCTGGCGGGCGCCCAATCCCAGGGCATGCCACCGGAGCCTGGCCAGGACGCACGGTGAAAGACGAGTTTAGTGGCAGGCTTGACCTCTTGGCAGCCAGCAGAAGCCGGCATCGGGAGCCCAGGCTGGCGGGCCGCTGGGGTCGGGGCTGCAGCTGCGAAAGCCAGGACCCCCGGGTTCGGAGCGAAGGAGGAGGCATGGCTTCGGTGTTCATGTGTGGCGTGGAAGACCTGCTGTTCAGCGGCAGCCGCTTCGTGTGGAACTTGACCGTGTCCACGCTGCGGAGATGGTACACGGAGAGGCTGCGGGCTTGCCACCAGGTGCTGCGGACGTGGTGCGGGCTGCAGGACGTGTACCAGGTGAGCCGGTGCGCGCGCCACCCGAGGGCCCCTGCTGGATGCCCAGCACTCATGGGAAGGCGGTTCCACCTGTATGATTTTATTCTTTCTTCCTCTGGCTCTCGTTAAACTCTTAGCAGAGTGCTTGGCCCTTGGGTCAAACGCTCAGCAGCTCTAGGTAACTACTGCTTGACAGAGCTCATGAATTTCTCAAATCGGGAATGGGGGGCACTTGCGAGATAGTCCCAGCGTTTGCAGACATCTGTTACAGAGCAATGGTATACTGGTTGGTGCTTGGCTAGGAAGGCTGTTGCTTTGCAGCAGAGGGTCTGCAGAAAGCCACTTAGATATTCAAATGAGTGCTTCTTTTTAATTTCATTGGGGTGGAGATGGCTGCTTCTGAAGCAACGGTTTCACACCAATTTGCTGGCAGAGGGGGGCTTGGTGGATTTGCATTCTTCCGTTGGATTTTCAGTTTTCCATCAGGCTGCCCCAACGTGTAAGGCACAGCCAGGAAAAGCTGATTCTGTGTCTACTGGCTTTTGGAAGGAAAGACAGCAAATTGTGAACACTTTGCAGGAGGATGACAGTCTGGGGAAGAGAGGTGGCTGGGCTACACGTTGGAATGCGTATGTTAGGATTTACTCCCTGTCACACAACACAGGCCCTTTATCTCTCTGCTTGGTCCGATCCTGCAGGGAGAAAAATGCAGCAACTTTGCTCAACTAGGAGACCATTCATCCTCTCTGGGACTGCAGTTTGCCTGGATTTTTTTTTAAACAGTAATTTATGAATTTAGAAGTCCTGTGCTTTCATTGTTAATATAGTTGAGACTTTTTAAAATCTGTGTTGTTTAATTAGAAATATACCTGGTGTTTACAGTAGAAACATAATATCATATTTTTTTTCCTGTGAGGTGGAATAGCTTTGTTGCAGTTCCTGGATTCCCCCACTTCACCCTATTCCTAATATGTCTAGAATTTATATCTCATTATATTGTGTCTCAGACGTGATCAAGCACTTGATTTTGACAAACCATAGTCTTCCATCAATCAGGCAAAATGAAAAGGCCAGCACCTAAAGTTGGACTATGGAAGTCTAAAGAGTCAGCATCCCCTTGTCATCCTTGTTAAAATATGAGGAATATTTGAACTTGTGCTTTCCCTGCTTCTGCTTTATATAACATATGTGTGAAATTTTGCATTTTGAAATGGAATATGAAAGGCAGGTTGGGAACCAGGGCAGCATGTGGGGGCTTGAGAGTATTAGGGAATTGTAGATATATCCCATCTGGCCACATTACATAGCTCCCTGGCTTTTTGGAGCCAGAGATGTGTCTGTCTTTAAAGCCTTTCCCACCCCCCGCCCCCCGTCTCTTGGGAAATCCCTGTTCAGGCTGGTCTGTAGAGTAAGTGCCCCTTGCGTAATTTTGTTTTCTCTTTTTAACGTTTGAGAAACTTTCAAAAAGGGATCACAAATATTGTAGCCAACCAGAGAGACTCTGTGCCTCACTCCCCAAGGATTCAAAGGATTTATGGCTTATCTCTAATACTGTTACTGACCAATTCAAAAATAAAGATTCCAAAAACCTGAGACCTTGTGGGCTCTATATAAGGTTAACTGATAATTTTTCAGCACAATAGCAATTTGAAAGACTGAGATACTAAAATATATGTATTTTTTCTTTTCTATAAAATGGGTGGTAACTGAGCCAATACCATCTCATCATTGCTAAGAACATCTAAAATAATGATGACATTCAGGCTGCGTACTGTGCGCCTGTAGTCCCAGCTACTCACAAGGCTGAGACAGGAAGATCACTTGAGCCCAGGAGTTTGAGGCCAGCAGGGTAACATAGTGAGACCCATCTCTTAAAAAAAAAAGAAAAAGAAAAAAGAATAAGTCTCTGCTCCTTCTTTTTAACAGTAATCAATTGTACATTTCCAAATAACTAGAAGAGAATAATTTGAATGTTTCTAGCATAAAGAAAAGATAACGGCTGGATACCATGGCTCATGCCTGTAATCCCAACATTTTGGGAGCCTGAAGTGGTAGGATCCCTTGAGCCCCCAACCTGAGCAACATAGTGAGAGCTCATCTCTACAAAAAATTTTAAAAATCAGCCAGGTGTAGTGCCATGCACCTGTAGTCATCTCTGCTCAGGAGGCTGAGGCAGGAGGATCAATTGAGCCCAGGAGTTCAAGGCTGCAGGGAGCCATAATTATCTACCACACTTAAGCCTAAGTGACAGAGGGAGACCTCCTCTAAAAAAATAATTAATTAAAATATTTAAAGATTTGGCTATCCCAGTTACCCTGCTTTGATTATATGAATGTGTCACATTATCTCATGTACCCCTAAAATATGCACATCTAATATGTATCAATAAAAATAAATAACAAAGGCTTTTGTGAATATAGAATCAGAAGAAAATGGTCTCTAAGTTTAAAGTTTCCTGTGCTTTTGCAAAAATAAGATTTTCAAAAATATTTTTAGCCTTTGAAGAATAATATTCTTAATTGTGCAACATCATCTTTTGCAAGAAAGGTTCATTTTTTAATGCTTTTCAAATATTAAGTGAAAAGGTAGTGAATTAATTGTGTAAAACTAAAAGACAGTAACATAAAGTGATTAATACCTTAGGCTGCAAGTTAAATAGACAAGGGAGTTAATCCAAACTTTGCCTATGTGTGACCATGGGTAAGTTAGTCTTACTATACTTCAGCTTCATCATTTATAAAATGGGAAATTAATAGTACTAATCACAGGGATTGATAAAAGAATAGACATATAAGATATTTAACATACTGCCTGGAGCTTAGAAAGCATTCAATAAATGTTATCTTTTCTATCAGTTAGGATTTTTTTAAATTGTAATAAGAAACCCAATTCAAACTTGCCTACAGAGTTAAAAAGAAATAACTTTTGTCACAGCCGAAAATCTAGCAGTAGAATGAACTTTTGGTATGGTTTGATCAGGGTACTCTGCTGATCAAATAAGAATTACTCCCCATAATTCTTTCAATCCTGGTCTTGCTCATGTGTTGGCTTTATCTTCAGCTGGTTTCTTCCCTCACAATAGCAGATAACCACAGCAGTTTGAGGCCTTATATCCACACATCCAGAAAAAGAAAAAAAGAAAAAACAGAATTTCTCATATCCTCCAAGTATCCAAAAAACTAAAAGTCCCAGTTTACGTACTGGAACTCCAATTTAGGGTCTGAACCCACTCCTGATGCCATGCACTGGTTGGCACAGAGTACGGGATGACAATTCATGTGTTTCCAGTGAGAGTGATATGGCCCAAGGGAGGCAAAAATTATTTTAGAGAAGGGGGTGGCAAAAAAATTTACTACTTTTATTTATAAAATACAAATATACATGAGATGTATAAACAGAAATACAGTATAGATGTGACATCAAAATAAAAGGGGTTGGGCTGAGCACAGTGGCTCACACTCTAATCCCAGCACTTTGGGAGATTGAGGTGGGCAGATCACTTGAGGTCAGGAGTTCAAGGCCACTGTGGCCAATATGGCGAGACCCCATCTCTACTTAAAATACAAAAAGTAGCTGAGTGTGATAGCTAATGCCTATAATACCAGCACTTTGGGAGGCCGAGGCGAGTGGATCACTTGATATTAAGAGTTCGAGAACAGCCTGGCCAACATGGCAAAACCCCATCTCTACTAAAAATACAAAAAGTAGCCAGACATGGTGGCACACTCCTGTAATCCTAGCTACTCAGGAGGCTGAGGCATGAGAATCACTTAAACCCGGGAGGTGGAGATTGCAGTGAGCCAAGATCACACCACTGCACTCCAACTGGGGCAACAGAGCGAGACTCTAGGGGAGCACTACACACTGGGGTCCCTTGGGGGGAAATGGGGGAGGGGCAGGGGGTGGGGAGGTGGGAAGAGATAGCATGGGGAGAAATGACAGATACAGGTGAGGGGACGGAAGGCAACAAACCACACTGCCATGTGTGTACCTATGCAACAATCTTGCATGTTCATCACAGGTACCCCAAAACCTAAAATGCAATTTAAAAAAAAAAAGAAAAATAAATAAATAAATAAATAAATACATTAAAATAAAATAGGAGGGGTGACAAACCAAAAAAAAAAAAATCTAAAAAGGCTCCTTAAGCAGATAACAACGAATTAAAAGGCTAAGAAATACTGGATTGCATTGATTTGCTAAGGCTAGAGCAGGGATGGGTCATTTCTTAACCTAGGAGTGAGGTTGGCCCCACTTAGACCACAGGGAGGAGGGGCAAAATGCTTGGCTGAAATGCAACCAATAATACCCACTGCATCATTAGAATGTCAAATCTACTGCTCTGTACAAAAAAAAAAAAAAAATAGCTATTTTTCAAGATAAGTACAAAGATAAATGCTCGAATACCTTTGTTTGTATTTCACCACAGGAATTTGAGTTAAGGGGCTTCTCATGAGAATAACTCTTTCCTATCCCATAATTATGAATTCTAATCAGAGAGGGGACTGTTCTACTGCACTGCACAGCTTTCAGGCATGTGGACTGGAAACACACACCGGGGAGTTACATATTTTACTGAACCAAATTTTATATGATCTTGTTGATAAAAAGGTGTCATTTTTCTTGCTTCTAGTCTGAATAGTCTTGTTGGTAAGGAAAGCCAAAGATTAATCACTCTAGAGAGAAATAGGGTGGGGAGGGAGGTATCCATTACATGAAATACCTGGCAGTCTCCTGGGGGTGTTCTTTTTATTCATATACTATAAGTGAAATAAGATCTCCCACCTATTCATGAGGTATTTGCCAACAACATTATCGTCAGGCCAGCAAAGCTAGGAAGGCATAATTTCTTTGGAATTGAACACTTCCTCCATTTCTAGATATTGGAGAAGCAAGTGACTTAATTTGCCAACAAACCATGAATAATTAAGATACTAGCTATAAGGCATTTCTGTAGTAATGAGACTAAATAAAAGCAGTCTCAGGCTGCATTGAGGCTGCCTTGAACAAAGACTTACTTT